TTACTATTTAGCTATCTTACCACGACCGATGTAACATCGCATGTACATCATAAATTCCCAGTTTCTTTCTTGCTGTACATCGCAACCAAAAAAATTTGACAAATTAACCAAATCATTACTGTAAACAGCTCCACAAATGCTCCTATCTCCGACACTTCACAAAAAAAATAATAACCCTTGCACGCCTTGCGCGCCTATTTTTTTTTTTAGGCACAGCATTGCAGTCTCTCACTACCAATATGGAACATCTGTCCGAATTGGGGAATAAGGTTGAAGTGCATCGAACCTAAACTGTTTTTTGGTGTTTTCCAAGAATTCGATCTCCCTTCAGCTACTACACATAATTTCAGGTGTCGTGAAGTTTTCCAGGTAAAAAAAACAAATATTTTAGTTTTATTTCCTTTTTCAAGGAAGTCAAACAACTAATTCCATCAGGTCTTAGCATTGCACTGCCCTTTCGCTGGGCTGAAAATTATCAGCGCGCAATGCGTCGAAGACCCATGGGACAGGCAGCCATTACGCCATTACAAGTGTAACCAACCGAACTAGACAAGTACGAAAACATCTTGGACTACCAAATTAAAAAACTTTACCTGTTCAGCATTTACTTTATCAAAAAGTTTTAAGACATCCATCACTCGCGTCTGAATTTCGTCCCTCGTAAGTGCAGCGCCAGCGTCGGCGAACAAACGGATACCCAAGTAAATGGCAGCCGGTCTCACTACTAAACTACTACCGACAAGAAATGGATGCTGCAAGTTCTTATTAGCAGCAAAAATCACACGTGGTGAGGAGGAGACAAGCCGTATGCTCTGCCTTCTCAGGAAAGGGTCAACGAAGACACCTCTCCCAAACCGTCGAAACATGTGGGTAACCATCTTGAAATCTACTCGCATGGTCTCTCTAAGAGTTGTGGGAATATCGGTGAAAGTAACAATCATTGCTGTTATTGGTTAGCTAAGAGGGAGCTAAGCTTTTGACCAATCATGAGACTTGTTATGTTGATGGTTATGTCATCAATCCGCTGGCCGTCGCACATGCGGCGACTTTCAACATGGTGGCAAGACTAAGTTCTCCTGGAGGTGCGTTAAAAGCGGCGCATTTTAGACAGATTAGAGGCTGTTCTTACATTTCAGCTTTTCAAGGCGAAGTAAAGTCAAGTGGTGATTTACACAAGACGAATGGCCGTGTGCAAGTACTCCACCTAAACTCATCAGGTTCAGATGAAAGATCGTGGACTGGCGTAGCTTCTAAAACCTTCTTCAACGCTTACAAATCCAAAAATTGCCATCATGTCATTAAAGAGATCAACCTTTGGGACAAGGATCTTTTACAGTACGATTTATCCCACGTAGCAAGCAAAATGCGAATGGTGAGTGGTGAAGATCAACCATATGATAAACAGAATTTTGAACCAGTGGAAAGGATGATCAAAACTTTATTTTCGGCGGATAAACTAGTTGTCTCGTGTCCAATGTGGAATTACAGCATTCCATATGTTCTAAAACAGTATATTGATTGTGTTGTTCAGCCTGGGTTGACATTTAGGGAAACAGCAACTGGCCCACGAGGCCTGCTAACTGGACGACTGTTATTACTGATTACCTCTTCGGGAGGTGACTATTCTTCGGGGGAGATGAAAAAACTTGATTACCAGGTTCCTTACTTGAAAGATATCTTTGGCTTGATCGGTTTTACTGATGTAAGGCATATTTATATAAAAAACACAGCACACGAGAAGCATGATAAATTGATGAGACTTATCAACTCAAGTTGCATTGAAGAAGCTGCCAACTTTTAAAAATGTACATGTACATGTAGCTCGTAAGTGCTAAGGATAATTTCTTCATTTTACACTTAAGCTCTTCAATGCTAAGGAAAGGTGTACATGCAAACTTTTCTGATTTCATTATGTCATGATGTGTATGATCAAAAGTTGAAAACCCATTGCACATTGCACCATTGAGCAGAAGTTGACACAGTAAGGGTATAGGCTCACTAGCTCTTTTGCTTGCAAGTACAAGGCCATACCTTCCATGACCTGAAATGTGACAATAATCACCGTCAATCAATGGGATACATTGATGATTCTAAGCTGCTTCTTGAACTGTCTAGTTAATTACATCTGACCTCTCTACTTAATTACATTTGGCTGAGGCTTGGACTGTGAATCCATTTGTGACCCTCCTTTGGGCATTGATGTGCTGCTGGCTCGAGAGACCATATAACTTGTTTATAAATTGTATTCTCCTCTCTCATCTGCCTGTGAATCGTCGTTCCTGTCATTCCAGTGTCATATAGTTGCAGAAAAAAATTAGCATGGGATAACCACATAACATTCCCATTCACTGTCTAGATTAGCCATGTAGCCATGGTTGCTCCGATAGTGTAGTGGTGATCACACCCGACTGGTAATCAGGGGGATGTGGGTTTGAATCCTGCTCAGGGCATAAAAAGTTTTTCTTCCAATGAAAATGTCATTCAGAAGTTGTCCATCTTTGGTTCCTTAATTCTTAACCCATTGACGTCTGCATAAAACTGCCCATGACCCACCCCTAATTCCCTGGTGTTTTCTCAAAATATTTCAGAGCGAGCGAAACCGCAAAAATAAACCATATGCACAGTAACCACAGACACAAGATCAGGTTTCAAGACATCATTTATTTAAAGTTGAATAAATGAAGGGCCAGAATATTAAAAAGTATCAACAAAAAGAAGTCAACTCGATGTGTAAAACTGATAAGAAAACAAGAAATTGTATTTTTTTCTTTGCCACGCAACAAAAGCCAAGAAAATTGAATACACAAAAATGAGTTAATTTTTTACTTCAGAGGAGAAAATGAAACCAAATACAACAGAATTTCCGCTCTTTTACTATAACGGATAGCATTTGGGAAAATACTAGAAAATAAAGCCAAAAGACACATGTAAAAACCAATTTAAAGAGAAGACATCAGATATTATTGGTAGGAGTGAGATGGATGAGAGTTTGATGGATAATCTCCATCAGCCTCTTTATCTTTGATGCAAGATACTACTTCTGCCAATTTCCATGATTCTTCAAAAATACTAGAACAGAGAGAACAGTTGATTAAATTTGTAAGTACTGGCAGTGTAACAGGAAGGCTAGCTTTTAGGATCTCAGCAACTAGTCACTTTTTGAGGTCCAGGAGCCTTATTTGACGGGCAAGGCTTAAAGTGCCTATGAAGTAAAAAATAATTGCTGCTTATTTGAAAGGCTTTTCAAAGTAAAGAAGAATGGCGTTTCCCTTTTTGGAATATCATTTTTCGTTCTAGAGATATATATGTTTTTGTATTATGCAAATGACAAAGTGATGATGTCATAGGTGGTTCCACTTGAACAGTGAAACACTGAATCAAGAATATCTCTAGAAATATTGGAGCAGTGTTCTTCAAACTTGGCACCACAAAAGAAACAAAATGATACCTGTGTTGTTGCCATGGCAACACTTTTGGCTCCAGTCTCTTTCTGTGAAAAACCAAATATGCCAATTTGCAACCCTTCAAAAAGGGACAGAGGGTCTTGCTCGGAACACAAGATTCCTATATTGTCTTAACTGTTCCCATTAGATTGTTGGGAGTGGATGATCCTTGTTTAAGATAAAATCTGGTAATGTTAGTTGTAATTAAAACAGGACCAGCAGCATAACTGTTGCCATGGCAACGGCATGACAGGTGTCATTTTGTTTCTTTTGTGATGTACATTTCTGGTGCCAGGTTTAAAGAACACTGCTTTAATATTTCTAGAGATATTCTTGATTGAGTGTTGAACTGCTTTAGTGGAACAACCTATGAGGTCATCACTTCTAATACAAAAACATGAATATCTCCAAAATGAAAAAAGATATTGCAAAAAGGAAAACGCCATTCTTCTTTACTTTGAAAAGCCTTTCAAATCAGCAGCAATTACTTTTTACTTCATAGGCACTTTAACTATTTTTATAGGGTCTTGTTCTCTAACAGGTCTTAAGTCGAACTCCAGATGACTGCTGCATTCGCTCATATCTTCATTGCTCTGGCTGTTGTTGTCAAAGGCAGTAAAGCTAAGTTTTTCAGTCAAGGTCTGTGCCTTTTCAGCAACAGTTTTTTAGAATTCATTGTACTTGTTTGCTTGGCCCAAAGTGAGAGAAAGCTGCAAACTTTTAACAATGTACATGACCATGCAGCTCTTAGATGCTAAGGATAATTTCTTCATGTTACACTTAAGGCTTGGGCCAAAGGGTCTTCAGATGTTGTGATTTGAGCACTCTTTTTGCGCACATAGTGGTAGACGACTTTCCAGATTGAATTGGTGTTGCCTTTACTGTTTATGAATTCAGAGCGAATGTTTTCCTGTATGTTCAGTGATGCGAATCTCACACTTCACTACTTGCCTAAACAAGCGATAGGCATTCCAATGAAGTTTATCCATTGTTTTGATTCCTTTTTTTCCACCAGTGATCACACGTTTTCATAATGCAAGAGTCAATGTAAACCCCCCATCCACCCCTAATAAGCATTAGTGTCAACTATATATTAAGTGGAAGATACGTTTCAAAAAGATCACACACTAACATCGAGCACTTTCCTTGTGGTAGAACTCTAACATGTCATACACATGCGTTCTAGCATCTTTAGCATGATACAAGAGCGCTACTGTGACTGTATATCTTTTGGAATTACGCTTAACTTGGTTCAAGAAATATCATCTGTTGTTTCCAAACTACACTAGTATGTTTATTTCATCCATTAATTATCTCTATCAAAAAGAACAAAAAGTTCGTATCCGCAGCCAAAACATTCCCAAGTAAGAGGCATTGAAACTTGTGAAATTGTACAAAAAACCAGGAAACTGTTCAAATATTGTTGCAGACTCCATGGCACCTAGACTGAAAGTCTTTGAGGGGAGAGGGGAATTATTCACAAATGAAGGATTTAATCTTGGTCAAGGAGCACTGTTTTCTTTCAATACTTCTCGTTGAATCGCTTCTCAGTTGTATTTATAGATATCAGTGTGTATTAAATTTAAGTGGCTTTATTGTTATCGCCAAAGGTGGTAACGGAACGTGATATTCTGGGACAATTTGATGATTAGATTTATTTAGTTCTTGTTTATTGGTAAAAATTAAATCTTTCCTCTTCCATTTCTTCATCTGACATTCAACTTTCTTCCATTTATCTCCAGCTGTGAAAAAAAAAAAAAACACATCTCCCATGTTTGCTGTAACTTAAAATGAGCGAAAATCGACGTGAAACAGTAAAATTCAAATTCTTGGTAGGGGTTATACAGGAACTGTGTTGTGAATACTGCGTCTGAGCTATACATTATACACTGCACTATCTGAGATTGTCTCACCAGCTAGTTAGTGCAGAGTGCACGATTGGGATGGTTTAGGGGGCTGCTGTTCGCTAAGGTAATAATTTCATAACGCCATAAGGTGTAAACTCTAATGTTTGTTTAATTAATTAGTTTTAATTAATCAATTAGCCTTGCAGGAAAGGGGACCGGGCGGGGTAGCTATAGGTACCAGTGTGCATTATGCAAAACGTGTCATACTTGTGTTGCTTTCTTTGATAACATGACAAAAAATATATGTATGTGGTTTTGCAAATCTTGTGCTATCCATGTGGTGCTATTCTCTTAAGAACAAAAAAAATTTGCTCCAAACGCATGCACAGAGTAGCCAGCATCAAAGTCGACTATATGTTAGGTGAAAGATACATTTCATACGGGACTACCCACAAACATTAAGTGCTTTTCCTTATGGTAGAACATAACATGTAAGACGCATGCGTTGTAGCATTGCTAGCTACAACAATGATGCATGCTTTTTTTTGTTTTTATTTTTTGTACTGAGTGATACCACACTCTCATTTTGGCCGGGGATAGCAGCTATATTAAAAAAAAGTCGTCTGCTGTTTTATAATTGAAGGGGTGAGTGCAAAACCATGCTAAGTGAC